ATAAAAGCGCTGCTCTTTAGCCCCTGTTCCCCAACACACTGTATTTCTGATTTCCTGCCCAAATGATTTCAGATTTCCAAATGCAAGTGGAAAAAAACTTAAGTTTGAGATATGCTTGTAAAACCACCTAAATTTTAGCCCAAGTCTCCTATGAAAACAATTTTTTAAAGTAGACATGAAGAATAATTGTATAGTCTTCTTATACAAAGAAAAAGTCAATAAGAGGGATGTATATCCAGGAAAGGTTTGGAGACTAATCTCAAAAGTACTTGAAATGATTGACAAGTGCCTCCCATGGGAATCTCATGAGTCTGCCGTAACATGAGTCATGTCAGCAAGTTATTCTTTCCCAACTTACTCTAGTACCTCCTTGGCCATATCCCCTCTAAGTCTGCTTCCGCCTCTGGGCGTATTTTTTTTTCTTCTTCTTCTTCCTTTTTTACCTAAGCCATCTGCTAGCCTTTTTTCCAAAAATTTTTAATGCCAGTTATTCAGACACAACACTAAAGAATCTTCCTTCAGACAAACATGTTTATCCCTACAGCGGAAATAGCTGTGTTGCTCTGCTCTCAACTTAGCCTTCTTACTACACTAGTTAAGATTTTCTACACCTGTAGCAAGCTGAAAAGATGTGTGTTCATTGCTGGCATTCTCCAGGTATAGAAATCATAATGAAAACCAAGCAAACAGAAAGTGTGTAATACTCTCAACAGGACCCAGAACCAACAGCTAGGATGAGTGTTACCAAATCTCTTATCACTGAACCCCAATTCTAAAGGGCACAAACATAACCACATCTCCAAAGAGATTCCAGTCCTGTACATCTTTTTAAAATCATTTATCTGCTTTATTTGAAAGGGATGAGGGGTGGGGAAGAGATGGAGAGAGATAGAGAGATCTTCCTTCCACTGGCTCACTCCTCCAAATGTATAAAATGACCAGGACTAAGCTAGGCCAGAGCAAGATGTCAGGAACTCAGTCTAGGCTTTGTTTTTGGGCTACAGGAACCCACATACTTAAGGCATCACCTGCTGCCTTCCAGGATATGTATTAGCAGGAAAGTGAGAATCGGGAACAGAGCCCAAACTCAATGCAGCACTCAGATATGGGCTGTGGGTATCCCAAGTGGCACCTCTAATGCCATGATAAATATCCATCCCTGCTCTTATAGTCTTAACTCTAAGTGTTTAGCCACCAAAAACCTGGTTGTAATTTGGGAGCCTCCCATTTTCTGGTGCCTGTAGTCACTCTTTTGCACACCTCCTTGAGGCTTTGCACGTGTTCTCCCTTTTCAGCGCTCGCTTAAAAACTGTGTCTTGAGTGAGTGGTGTCTCTCAGCTTTAATTGGAAACTCAAAGACTGTATCATTCCCAACACTGCCATTTAGCACTGTGCAAGTGTTAAAATACTAAATATTTAAGCAAAATGTCTCGTCATTAAGCGTCTCCTTGTACTGATCATCTGGATTGAAGAAGGTAGAAATTTCATTCACATATATATATATTCATACAAATATACATATATATATCCAACAACCATGAGTGTTTATTTTAACAAACTGGTTTTGATGGGTCAAAATGCTTTATTACAGTTCCATTTTATAACTATTCTACAAGGCTGTATATCAGATGCAAATATTTTATAGGGAAGCAACTAAGATTAGGGAAATTTTTCCAAGGCAACCTTTTTTGACTCTTTAAGCACTCAATCTATCAAAGAGATTTCTAAAAACAAATAGATAATCAGGTGTCATTTACTTAGAGTTTATTATAAGCTAGCTTCATAGGCCACAAGGAAATAAAAAGACTAGATACAGTCTTATAGGACACAAACCAGGAGCTGAGGAAGGCTGAGATGAATCTAGAGCCTTGGTGGGCGCATTCCCAGGGTAGGGGGCCCTGTAAGAGAAACCAGACAATCCGGTGAGATGCTGCAAGCAACAGCGTAACAAACAGATCTGTGGTTACATGGCCCTGGGGAATTGGGCCCACATCTATTTCCAACTCTGTAGCCAAGCATCAAAGAAGGTCTTGCATCCCAGGTGGAGGGGACTGCATCCTTGGAGGGGACAGGCCCACTGGAGAACCTCATCCAGGGAGAATTCCCACTCGGGCACCCATAGGAGGCCTCTTAGCAGGAGGTTGGCCCATCATTCCTGGAGTAGGTGCACCTCGGCCCCTTGGCAAAGGAGGCCCTCTGGGAGCTGGGTTGGAGCCTCTGCGATGCTGAGTGTTGCGGCAGCTGCAAAGCTGTGATGGTGCTTCTTCCTTGAGAAGTCATCACCTGCTGGGATGGTCCAACAACCCCATGAACTGGGCCAGCAGGTTCTGCAGGAACATCAGCTGGGATTCCTCTGCCAGCCACCCAGCCAATCTCTGGGCCCCCTGCAGCTCCAGCAATGGGTACTCAGGCACTGCCAGTGCACTTAGGAGTAGCCCCCTCTACTGTCAGGGATACCAGGTTTTCACCTCGCAGCAGCGGGCCTAGGATTCATTTCTCTTCTTTTTTGGCTTGTTTGGGGTTCTTCATCATAGAAGCAGAGGATGAAACGCATGTGCTTGTCAAAAATCTTAATGGTGCCAATGAAGATGCGGCTGTCCTGCAGGATGTACTTCTTCCTGTAGTTGACGTGCTGCAGCATCTTGCTGCTCTTGCCCACCATCATGGTGGCAGGTCAGATGGCTTCATGTTGCGCGGGATTCACCTCACTTCTATATTTGTCAAAGATGGAAAGAAATGATGAAGGGGGACAGTAAGAGCGGGGCCAATTCTCTCCTGAGATTGTTACTGAGGTGCAGACAGGCAGCTCATGTGATTCCTGCAGATGACAGAAGCATTAGCAAGGGCAAAAGAAAGCTAAACCTTCAGTTTTGACTTTTCCCATGATTCTAACATAACTAACATGACTGGCATTGGATGCTAACCACTTACGGGTTCATCTTTTCTAAAGCAAAAATATGTCTCCTGATGAGTTACGTAAGCCATTTTTACAAAACTGAGTGAGCAATAGCAGGGAGAAAAGAAAAACCACAAATAGGGTGCCCTGCATCTAAGAACCCATCATGTTAGCAACTCAGCTCAAATCACACAACCCTAAACCAGCAATCTACTGTGCCAGTGACTGGGAGCTCTGCAGTACGGACCAGTTCCCTACTGGACCGCTCTGGTGATTAATGTGATCAGAAATCTTCTTTCTCACAATCTCTTACTTTTTACTTTAATACAATTCAGACAAGAGTTTTCTACTATGCATAAACAAAGCCACCAGCAGCTTCAATTTCACACTAACCTTTTACCATGGAATCCAGGGTAGAACATGTCTGCATCTTGCAGAAATTGTACCCAAGCCTTGAAAGCACTCTCAAGAGGGGTGCTTGGGAAGCCTGATCATCTGATTGCATTCCTGCCATAGTCACAGACAACATGGGAAAGACAGACCCTAAAGAAAGAAAGCCTTCTGTCAGAAGAAAAAAAAGTGGATGCAGCATAGTCAAAGCAAGATGTCCTCTAGGCAGTGCCTTTCCCCCCATCACTTTGAAGCGGACTCACACGCAAAGACCTTTAAAACTCATTAGTATCCCCTGGCTTAATGGCAGCACAGTGCTTCACCTTCATTGCAAATTTCCATGGTGCTTTTTGTGTCTGAGTGAAGAGCAGATGCTTGCACTTTATCTACACAGCTACATAGAAGAGTAAGGTCTGCCCAGCAACTTACAATGGTTTGGCTGCCCTTACTGACATCACAGAAATAAGTGGTTACTGACTTAAGAACTCGCTAGTTACTCGATAACCCTTAATGGGAACTGTGCTCCCTTTACATACTACTATAGAAGTACATAATTATGCACTTTTCAAACGGCTATTTCCTTTAGGCACTTGCCTGTAAAAAGGTCCTCGAGGCTCCTAAGCTTTTATCACGTGAAGACCCAAGTAGGAAACACTTTGTTCACTCCTCATTGACCAATAGGGAACAAACATCTTTTAGATGGTGGTAGCTGCCTGCAAAGAACACATGGACAGCCTTGTATGGCTTGGGCTGTTTGGGCAGGAAAGTAAATTGTTATCAGATCACATTCACTTCATTCAGTACTTAAACATTGATACTGAATGATAATCAGTCACTCATACATAAGGCCCCTCCTTCCCCCTTACAAACTCTTGTCACATTCACTTACCCTGACTTTATTACTAGCTGTATGAAATGAGTCCCAGAAAAGACAAATGGCAGATGGGTCTGCTGGCTTCAACAATCTCATAAGTACAGGGCGTAGCCCTTACTTTCATGGAGAATAAGTTTCCCATGCATAGTCAGTATACTGGTCTCACCTGCCAGGATCAGGCAATTGAGAAAAGTTTATTCCTGTAGTGAACTCAAGAAAATCATATGATACATGATGAAACGCCTTGTGTGTGTCAGTCTGTTGAGGCTGCTATAAGCATATATATAAGCAACAGAAGTTCATTCCTACTTTTGGAAGCTGGTAAGTCCAAGAGGAAGGCACAAGTATTCTGTGTCCCACATAGGTCCATTCCTCATGGACAGCAACTTCTAAATGCCCACCGATCCAGAGAAAGAGAAGGGCTCGTGAACTTCAGCACTTAAAACACCTCCTGACAGCTCAGTGCAATTCCTTTTCAGCTTTCTTTGTCTTTCTTCACATGTCTTCTAACCAGGATCCCCTGTCCTTTCTTCTGCCTACAGCTTTCTATAATGTCACCTCCTCAGTGACATGACTCGGATTCATCCAGGAGAAGTGGCTACATACTCTCTTTCTGAAGCACATCTATGAGCATCTAGATAGCACTGTCAGCATTTACTAAGGTGTTTTTCTTCAATAATCACTCTGTGAGCTCGCTAAAGGTCAAGATTAGGTCTGATTCATGACTATCCCTTTGGGACCATTGCAGAGTGCTTGGAACAATCAAGTGCCCAGAAAGATGTCAAATAATGATCATTTATCTGACCCCATTCCTTCTGCAGAGAGTAGATATTTTTCTTCCTCTGTATTTCCTTTTTGTTTGTTTCGCATGTCATCCTTGCACAGGGGCCACGCTAACCTTCTCTGTATCGTTTCAATTTTAGTATATGTGCTGCCGAAGTGAACACATCCTTTTTGTTTGTTTTGAAGATGCATTTGCTTTACTTGAAAAAGTTACAGGCATCCAGAAAGAATCAGAGAGATCTTCCATCTGCTGGTTGACTCCCCAAATGGCTGTGATGGCCAGAGTTGAGCTTGGTTGAAGCTGGAAGCCAGGAGATTTTTTCAAGTCTCCCATATGGGTGCAGGGTCCCAAGCACTTGAGCCATCTTCTGCTTTTTCCCCAAGTCATTAGCAGGAAGCTGGATCAAAAGTGGAACAGTTAGGATTCTACCTGGTACCCATTTGGATGCTGGCCCAGTGGGCTGAGGATTAGCCTTTCAGTCCACCAATGCCAGCCCCTATCCCTGCATTTTTGTCATCCAGATTTACAGGTGCCTGGAAGAAACTTAGATGCACAAACCTGGATGAGCTGAACTGAAGCTAATATGGCAATGAGATCAAAGTAGCAAGCAGGGGATGAGAGAGGGTCTGAAAGTGTGGGCAAAAGAAGGAGGAAGATAGGGAGGAAGAAAGAGAGAATGGGAGCTGACAACATTGCAGAAGGATGGGGCCCAGCACAGGCTGCGGCACTGATTGAGAAGAGGCGGTGTCAGAAATGTGAGGAACAGAGTACATATAGGACTTCTGTGTGGAAGGAGCATGGGAATGGTGAGGGGGAACTGTGAAACTAGGATGTTACCATGTCAGGTCAAGGTCAGAAGAGGTGGGACCAAGAGTCCAACCAGTAGTACCAGGCAGAGGAATTTGCAGTGTGAACTCTGCCATGGTGGTGATTTGTAGAGGGGAGAGAGTATCATGTGGGCATTGCTGAAATCACAGCAATCTGGGGTGCTCATTCCCAGAACCAAATGTCTCAAACTATACTTCCTTCCAGAGTGCAGCCTTGCAGGCAGCCTAGGTGAAGGCCAGGCTTCCTGGCATGTGCTGCATGTGAGGGCACCTGGTTGGGGACCTGCTCTGGCATTCCTTAGCCTCCAGGTCCTCAAGCACTCCAGGGATGTACTGTGTCGCCTACCTGAGATTCCTCCCAGGTATTTGCAAGCCACTCCTCCTTTTACTAAGGTCCCGGCTTAAAAATCACTTTTTAAATGTTTTATTTATATGGAAAGTAGAGTCACAGAGAAGAAGAGGAGAAGGAGAGGGAGAGAGGGAGAAAGAGAGAGAGAGAGATCTTCTACATGCTGATTCATTCCCCAAATAGTTACAATGGCTGGGGCTGTGTCAGGCCAAAGTCAGGAGTCAGGAGCTTCTTCTTAGTCTTCCATGTGGGTGCAGGAGCCCACGCACTTGGATCATATTCTGCTGCCCTCTCAGATGCATTATCAAGGAGCTGGATTAGAAAACAAGCAGCCACGACTGGAACTGGTACCCATATGGGATGCCAGAGCTATAAGCAACAACCTAACCCACTATGCCACAATACTGGCCCCTCAGATACCACTATTACAAACAGGTTTCTTTTTGTCCTTCTTTATTTTTCTTCATACACCTATGGTGATTGACATATCTGTGAACTTTCTTATCACCCATATCCTCCAACGCAGAAGCCATCAACTTTCTGAGTAGCTACACAGTAAATAGTTTAGCATTTTCTTCTGTTCTCTGTTGTAACTAAACTTCCATTGGAGCAAATGGGCAACCATTAAAAATGCATAAACAAATGGACACAATTGTGTTCCAACAAAAATTCACTTAACAAATAGAGCCTGTGGGCCAGATTTGGACTATAGCTTGTCAACCCCTGCTCCAGTTGTTAAAAAGTTGCATGAAGTCAGCAATATTGCTTATCTTCTCATTATTGTATCTCTAGGGTTTGGCTCATAGTAGGCATTCAATTCACAGATTTTAAAGGATGTATAAATAAATGGAGTCCAATGGAAAACAAAGATGTAAGCACACCACATCTGTGATGCCTAAATTCACATGCCAGCCTGGTTGGGTCACGCGCCCAGATAGGTAGTAAAACATGATTCTGTGTTTCTGTGTTTTCAAAAGACAGTAACAATTTAAAGACTTATTTATGCTTATTGGAAAGACAGATTTAAAAAGAGAAGGAGAGATGAAATATCTTCCATTTACTGGCTTAGTCAAGCTGAGTCAATCCAAAGCCAGGAGCCTTTTACTATCTCACAGATGGGGGCAGGATCCCAAGGCTTAACCAGGCCAAAGCAGGGACCTGTATGGGAAGTGGAGCAGCAGAGACATGAACCAGCACCCATACAGGATGCCAGCACTTGTGCACAGAGGATTAGCAAATGGAGCCATGGTGCCACCCCGAAAGTGACGTTTAAGTTGGTGGACTTTAGGTAACGGAGATTGTACTTCTTTACATGGGCAATCCTTTTTCAACTAGGTGGAAGACTCAATGAAATACTGACACACACAGCATCCCCACCTGACTCCACCCTTCCAGAAGAAGGAATCCTACCAGCAGGTGGTCTTCAGATTTGAACTACATCAGTTTTTCAGTTCTCCAGCTCTGCCTGTAGATTTGGGAGTTTCTAGCCTTCATGATTCAGTCAATTCCTTAAAACCCATCAACCAATCATTCAATAGATAAATAAGATTCCCATCACTTGTGCTTCTCTAAGAAACCCTGACTAGTAAACACATAAACAGCAGGCTGACTCAGTAGGAAGGTGGAAAACATTTGGTTTCATAGAAATGGAGGTTTCCCCTTGATCAACCAAATCCCTGTCACAGCAGCCTTCACTGCTGCCCTGTGCCCTTCAGAGAAACATTCAAATTTTTCCCAGCCCACGAGGACCTTTTGAGCCTGGCTTGTACCTGCCTGTACCTTTCCATGCTTTCAAGTTCATGTACACCATATCCAAGCAACATACTCATTGGCTGTTCCCAGGTTAAGCTCTTTCAAAGTATCCAAACATTTGCACATGTGGCAGTTCACTCCTAGAGAAACATCCCACACAATTTTTCACCAGGATAGTTCCTGCTCTTTGCTTCCTTAGGATAGAATTGGCTAAATGCACCTGCTTTAAACTCACAGCCTCATTATGAGTGAGGTTGGCTTGTGTCCACTTCCTTGACAGGCAGATGCCCTGCTCATCTCCATACTCATTTCTTCCCACCTCTTACTCCCTAAGTCCTGTGCCTGACATGCGATGAAGACATCAATGGGGCATCAGATTAAAAAAACCTTTTAAGAAATTAAACTGTTCCAGTTGGTCACGGTGTCCCTTCCTTAAAATCTGTGAAACTGTAGCTTTGAATTACACAGGGGAGGTGCAAAGGCTAATTGTAGGGCTACTGAGCATCTACTCAGAGGGTCTTGACAGGACAGAAGTTTTGGTGACCTGAAACAAGATGGTTCAGAATGAATACAGGGTGGGAAGGCCTGCAAGTGTTCTCTCAACTCTACCATTTTCTTCCCTACTTCTTGAAATATTCCTGGTGGGGGGGTGGAGGGGCCAGGGGGAGAGAGAAGTAGGGAAATGGGAAAACAGCCTGAGCCTGGGCAACTTTCATGTCAAAACTTGTTCACATTTACCTGTGGGAGGGACTTGCAGGGGTGCAGACTGCTAACTTTTCAGAAGTTTGAAGGAAATGAAATTTGCTTTGTAGCAATAGATAACCAATTAGCAGAAACACACCTGTGACCCCTGGGTTATGGGTGCTCTCACTAGCCACAGTGCCTAAGGCTCTAGGCCTCTGGCTACCATTGGCGACTTGCTCCAGAGTCTTGGTGTCTTATAGCTGCTGTTTCTCAGCGCCTCAGTTTCTGCATCTGTGAAACAGGAAGAAGGAGCCTCGCCACCTGCAGCACCAGAGAGTGATGCAAATGAACAAGCAGCATCTGCAAGGCACTTGGCATTCGCATTCCCTCCGCTCCATGGATTGCAGCAGCATTATTATTACTTCTGAAAGTGTCAGCTATCATCCGAAAGGGTTATTTCAATCAAAAGGCTTTCTTCGGGAACACTTCATAAAGGAAAAGTGAAAGCGTGCACATTCTCCTTAGAACCATCATAATTAGTCCCAGTAACAGTTGGGCCATTTTTTTTTCCAGTTCATTTATAGTCAGATTTTGCAAAATTGAAAACATCCAACATCTGGGCTGAAAAACTTGTACAAAGACAGAAACCCCCCAAATGGGCATGGGTGGGCTTCACTGGCATAGCAGCCAGCTGCACTCTTTGCCTCAACTAGTCTTTTTAACCTTTAGAAAAAAAATCACTATTGAATTTCCTTGCTTGCAAAACCTCTGGGATTTTAGCCCTAATTTTTTTTTAAGTGTCTTTTTCGACTACTGGTAAATTTAAACTTTGCCAATCAGAAATTTCTGGAAAAGGAATCTTTCAGTAATATATAAAAAGCAGTTAGGATAACAGTTTCAATGTCAATGTTCAAAAAACTACTTATTTGGAATTCAAAGTTATGGAGAGACAGAGAGAGGTCTTTCATCAATTGGTTTATTCTCCAGGTACTGCTATGGCCAAGGTCTGACTAGGTTGAAATCAGGAGTCAGCAGCTTCATCTGGGGCTCCCATGTTGGTGGCAGGGGCCGAGCATGTGGACCATCTTCCTCTCCTTTACTCAGGCTATTAGCAGGAGAACAGGACTGGAAGTGTAGCAGCGGGGGAACAAACCACCGCCCATAGGAGATACCATTGTTACAGATAATGCCTTTCCCTGCTATGCCACTATGCTGGCTCATTAGTGCCAGCTTGTAAAAGGACAAATGATAGTTGATATTCATCGCCTGCTCTAAGCACTTTTCAGGTATTATCTCCTTGACTTTTGTATCCAATCAATGCACTTGGCACTACTCTTTTGTCTGTTTTACAGGTAAGGAATTCAAGGAGCAGAACTTTCGCGAAGCGTTACTACGGGTGAAAGGCAAAATGTTTTGGTGGGTGCTTAAGGGAGATTTTCACTTAATTCAACAAGAATTTAGGCAGTTTTTGATGGTATAAAATGATCCCAAACAGATTAAGCCACACCCTCTCCTGGGAAGAGCTGCTTAGAGCCTGCAGTACAAACTTCC